AAAATGACGCAAAAAGTTTTCCATGGAAAAATAATATTAATTTGAAAACTTTTTCTAAACTTTCGGAAGTACCTCGGGCCAAAAACAGAAAATCTTCTGGGTTATCGAGTGTGCTTACAAAAACCTACTTTTCAGCAACTTTAAATCAACTTATTTTTTTTCCGGTAATATGGACTTTCATGTTTTGAGTAAAGCATTTTTGTTTTTTCTCTTTCTGTGTTTGATAGAATACAAGATTTCTGTCACGTACATAAACATTCATGTCGTGTAAGATAAGATAAATAGAATACCCAGGTCCACTGTCACGCGTCATTCGCAGCGCGATCGCGATGAATTCTTATATTCGCGCCGCGATCTTGATCACTTACTTTCAAAAAGAATCTTTTTTTAAGAGTCGCTGGAAATCCTTTCCACTTTTGTTGTTACAAAGTCAAAATCTTTTGGTTTTTGTTTAACTGTTGGGGTACCAAAACGGGGCGCTCTCTTTCACAAAATGTATCTAGGGACTTCTATCATGTACAACTTCATAAATATGTTAACTTCGCTAGGTCTCAAAATAAAAATGCATTAAAGTGAGAAAAGCATCAAAGGTTGATGTCATCGCAATCGTGAGTATGCTCGGTGTAAGATAGCTTTGTCGTTGGTGCCTTTCAGGATGTAGAGAGTATCAGTTCGGACCTTCAGAATTGCTGTGTAGTCACTTTGAATCCGTACAAGTTCTTCAGTAAAAATGTCTTTTACCATTTTAGATAGAAATTGTGGAGTACTGAAGGCGTCGTAGGATCGATGTAAACTTCAGAAAAATGATCGCGTCATATTCTCGAAGAAAAGTCCGAGTAAGACATGATGCAACGCTGACCAAAGAGGTAATAGTATAAAAAACTCATTCAGAAAAATATAATTGATAAGTTTGATCTAGTTATAACAACAAAAGGATTCACAACGCGTATTTTTATCTTATGCTTCACTTTAGTTTAGTAGTGTTGCTCTTAGGTAACGGAAAATGGGATTAATTCGTATAATGATCGATTAAAAGTTCGCTGTTTTCCCAAATTTGTCGTTCGTTCAGCCGGTACACAGACTGCGTATTGTAATAACTGTCAATTGGACCTGTTCTTAACTGAACGAACGATAAATTTGGTAAAACATCGAAGCTTTAATCGACTATTATACGAATTAATCCTATTTTCCGTTACCTAAGAGCAAAACTACTAAACTAAAGTGAAGCATAAGATAAAAGTACGCGGTTAGAGACCTGCAACCCGACCCTAGGGTCGGGTTCGGGTTAAGATGCTGTCGGGTCGGTTTCGCGTTGAAGATTTAGCGACGCAATTTAAAATATAAATAATATTTTTAGCTTTGTATTACTGGTTGAACGTTATCTCCACTGGAATTTCCAGTTGAAAGACTTGTTTCAGAACAACTGCATTCACTAAGTCGATTAATGATTGCTTTCTTTGCACATAAGAGAGTGCTTCCTGCACTGAAATCAATGGCAATACATCCCTTACTGCTTTTTTTCAATGTACTGTTTTAAACACCCTTACATAGAAGACTTTACTATAATGCTCTCTACTTACTGTCTTAGTATTAGGTGATACTGACTGATCAATGAGAAAAAGGATGTGATCATCATCTCGGTTAAGATAATCTATTGTCAAAGTGTACTGAGAAATTTTCATAGATTAACCTTTTAGACAGAATGGCCAAGCAGACGTCGTTCAAAAATTTTTGTTGAACTACGAGATTCTACAATATGCACTGAAAAACTTTTGTCTAACAAGGCAAGTCTATATTCTTTCTCAAACACAGTTTTCCGGTGAGATTATTTTCATCGGGTCGGATTCGGGTTAGGTGTTTTTAACCCGTGCAGGTCTCTATACGCAGTGTGAACCCTTTGCTGTTATAACTGGCTCAAACGCCAAATAGAGCGAAGAACAAACAATAATTGAGTATACTGACCATAATAAGATCTTGCCGCGACTCGAATATGATCGCGTTACGACATTGCGATCTCTGTATCATGGCTTCAGTAAATATATTTTTATATTATAAGGCATTGTGTCGAAGTAAGCAGAGTTAGACAGAAGAAAGTTCAGTCTTCCTTTAGAAGAAAACTACTTAGAATATTTATCTTTTGTTTAGTTTTACTCCAATGTTTAAAAGCATACAAATTTACTCCGAAACTGACTTCGCCTGCTGTCCCTCCTGTCTCCAAGGTATCGGGGCGCCCCTTACTCTAGTATTGGCCTTGCACATGTAGTATAGTGACGTTTTAATTTAAATGGTGCATCGCGAAACGTATGATTAATAACCCCATCAGTTTGCGCTATCTGAGAGCAGTTTCTTGTACTTGAAACGACCATTTCATTGTGTGCGAAATATATACTCCTAACAACTTCACTTCACTTCACTTACTCTGCTTAGTATTTCACCGCCAACGGTAATAATGTTTGGTGATAGAAACGTTGGCAATTTATCGAATATTATACTTCTCACTATAGAACTCAACTAAAGTTGTTTTACACAAAATCTCTACTTTTTCAACTTCCACTCTTACTCGTCTCAAGTCTTCATCGTTCTCAATAGATACACCGATGAAAATATCGTTATACGAAGAGAAAGATGATAGTGGATGAATGTAGTACTTCTGGTAGTCCATTGATAGATAACAAAAAGAGTGAAGACCCGAGGTATGACTCCTGGAGAACGCCAGAAGTGACGATAATTGGGTCTGACAAACACAGAGCGTCCATTACTAAAAAATTCTCCGTCTGCTTTAGAATCATCTCTGTGCAATTATTGCTACTGTCGGCATTGTACACTAGAGTAAAACATTTCCTTCCATTGGAATAACCTGCAATGGATATTTTTTTCTGTCTGTTCTATGAAATGCTTACTGATGAACGATAAAAAACTCTCCTTTCCTTTGCTAACTTGCTTTACACAGTACAAACTACTTTCTCAGTTCTTCTTTACAGCATATATAGTTACATACTTCGAAGTCCGGATACATCACTCATTCTTTCTCTCTATCTTTGTTATGCTGATTTGGGGGAGTACACAGGTTTACTTCTAACGTATTATTACGCAGAAAAGAAAAATTCTTTTCTCCTGAACTAAGCGATACTTTTCTTATAAAAATATTTGTTCTTATCATGCTTAAATATAGATAAGAGCGTGTTCTACATATGCTACATAAAATATTCAACAACAAATCATACTCTGCCTGTTCGATGCACTATTTAACACAACTTAGACTTAGCTTAACCCATTAATTTCAATACAAAACGTTATTTGTATACGTAGACAAGCACAAAGTTGATTTGTGTGAATAGCAAAGACAAAATCTTATATGTCATTGCTGTTTCGCGTAATGTGTTACTGTGCTACCTTTACTTTAGCTAGTGTTTTACTGTTCAATTCTTTTCTGATTTCTTCTGATAGGGTAATATTACATACATCGTCAACTTTGTAGAATTTTGCTTCTAATATTTCGGCAATTGCACTGTATATTGCATTTTCTTTCTTTAATGTTGTCTCAGCTGATGCTCGTTGCTCAGGATCTTTCTTCAACAATATCTCCAAAACTGCCTTGTAGCCGCCACCTTCTGGCACTGATATCTCTTTCGCCGTTGGACTATTCACGAAATTCTCGTAGTCAAACTCATCTTCGAACGGCATCTGGTCGAACAGCAAATAATAGAACATGATACCAGCCGCCCATACGTCCGATTTCTTATGCAATCGTCGACTAATTCGATTGTCTCGGTCACGTTTGAGAAACTCAGGTGAGGCGAAGAAACGTGTGTGAGCCTTGTCTGCTCCCACCGTAATTTGTGATCGCCTCGTGTCCAGTTTTTCGACGGTGCCGAAATCGATGAGTTTGATACAGAAGTAGTTTTCCGATTCTACAATGACCAGATTTTGCGGCTTAATATCACCGTGCACAATGGACAGCTTTTCCAGAAAGATCAGCGCACGCAGGACGTACATGATAATTATCGCGCCAAACACAAATTTATCCATGTCACTCGCTTTGCTCACTCTTTTTATCCAAAACGTGTACAAATCACAATGAGCCAACTCCATTGCAATGTAAATACCCTCGTTCGTCGTTTTACATCCATAGTATTCAATGACGGGATGATTAGTCATTTGAATTTTCTGTGTGGCGCGCAAGAAGTTCACCTCTCTCTCAATTTGATCTTGAATGCCAGTTGTGTTTGGCAAAAATTTAATTGCAACCATCTTGTTGTTGCCACGAGCTTGTGCCTTGTATATTTCACCGAAACCACCGCGATTTACAAATTGCCTAATATCATATGATACACCTTCGATTTCTAATGTTTTCTTTTCTTCTCGTATTACACGTTCGTCTGAAGAATTTGATTGAAGAAGAATGAGAAAAATTTTGACTATTTGTTCAGCAAAAGCCTCTTGCTGTTTCCTGTTTTCGGCCTGTTGTTCGAGCATTTGTTGTGACAGTTCTTGATGTTGTTTTATTAACATTTCCTGCTGCATTTTCAAATGTTGAATGGTTTTTGATTCGCCCGAACCCATTTTTTGGTGAATGATTCAACGTCTGAAATGAAACTCAAATATACAAACACTACGTTAACGATAATACAAAAAGATTGATCATGTACTTTGTTTAACTAAAGAGAAATAAGAGAGACAATATTTAATGATGAAATAATCATACAAAATAGAATGACAAAATAAATACTATTTTTCAATGTCTAAAATCATGTCAACTGTAAAAGAGTTTTGTTCAACTTGTGTATATTTATCTCCAACATTTCCGTCGAAAGATTTCGTATGAATGTACGAATTCACAACTGTAATATTTTCATTAATTTGTCGAAAATTTGTAGAACCAGATTTCATCAAAATCGTCCCCGTATATTAAATATAATAATATTATCAATCATAATATTAAATAATTTTGTTTTATTTTAACATCAATCTGAATGGTTGTCCATTGTGTTAAGAAATTCGGATTTGTTGATTCTTTAGCAACTATTGTACCGCTATTATAAATAATATAAGTCATAATTTGACCAGCAGTTAATGTCGATTTAACTTGAATAGAAAAGAGTTTAAAAGGATCTTTTCTCAATTTAAAGACATAGCCGCGTGGATAATTAACGGCATTAGTGATTTCATCAGCAATATCTGCTGCCAATGAAAGATCTACCAATATCCTCATGTCAAAAACGTTGCCATTTTTATCCATCATATAGGATTCATTTTGAATTTTTCCTATAGTGGCGATTTCTTGTTGAATAACTCGAACCCGTTTATTATAATAATCGATCGTGAACATGTTTATGGTACACGGCCGTACTGTTTTCATGAACTCATTCACTTCTTCGAAATAATTGAGCAAATCATTGGGTACTCTAAGTACGGAAACGTTATCGTTACTATCTAATATTTGTTTTGTGAATATTTCTCTAGAAGAAATTTGTTGGATATGTTCTTGAATATTCTCTTGTTCATGTTTTAACTCAATTGACTGTTTATTTTCACTATCATCTAGCAGATCGAGTAGTTGCAACTTCTTTGTTTCACACATCGTTTTTAGAAAATCAAATTTCTTGATTAAATTCTCTTTTGTTCGACTATTATTCTGATGTTCAATATTCAAAGCTGTATTGATACTATTATGAAATTTGTTCAATGTATTTTTAATTGTATCTAATTGTTGTAAAGATAGATAAAGTTTTGTTCTAGTCTCCTTAGACAGTATACATCATGTACGTCCGAGAGAAAGAGAATTCTATTCAAAAAATTAAAAACAGTCTGTTATATGCACAAATAATCAATTTCGCCAAAGTGTACCGAATATCGATAAGGAGCAGATTGGACGGAGATTTTTTTGTGCCCGGAATTAAGACAGATTTGTGCCCGTTTATGTTTTTTTGTGCCCGTTTAAGACTTTTTGTGCCCGGTCCGGGTACAAAAAAATCTTTTGACGCTTTTGTGTCCGGAGACCGATATGTGCCCGGTTTGTGTTTAAAAATGAAAATATAATAATAATATATAATATATAATATATGATAAATTTAATAGTAGACCATAGGTTATCCTAACAGATATCGCTTGTGACATATATGTGTACAAAGTATGTTATGTATGGAGATCTGATCCTGATTTGGTTACATCTTCTAATTATTTTGAAACAACCTGGATAAATGATTTAAGATACTGGTACGAAGGAGCTGCAATGGGTATTCCGTCAACAAATAACGGTCTTGAATCAAGCAATGGCAAAATTAAAGAACAATATACACTCAGAGTAAAATTAAATTTATCTTCATTTTTACCCACAATGCAACAAATGCTATCTGAATGGTCATCGAAATCAACTGAAGAACCATTTCATACATTTCCAGTTGTGAGTGTTGCACAAGAAAAAGAGGCTTTAACATGGTTACAAAGTCTTGATAAGAAGACAATACTACATTGGTATGGTAATTCATATATTGTTCCATCAACATTCAATCACCAATACAATTCTATGTTATGGTTACAAGAATATTCTACATTACCATGGACGCAATGGGACAATTTTCCTCAATGGCTCAAAGCTGGCCGACTTATTACAATTCCAATGACTTGTTCATGTAGATCAAATTTGAAAACATATGTATGTAAGCATGCTATTGGTTTAATGATGCATTTTGGTTGTAATATTGTAAAAGATCCAGTAAAATTACAAAATTTCCAGAAACGACGCGGAAGACCAAGAAAAGTAGGAAATGCGTTGTCTGGTGTTTAGCTGTTGTGCTTACATATTCACTCTGTTCTGTCTATTTCTGCGACTACGTCAGTAAATAAATGGTGATAATAACCTTTCTCATTATTATTCCTAATCTAA